AAGTCAAGCTTCTTTTGAGTTCTTGTGCAACTAAATTCGCAACAGAACACAAAATGGCTTGAATTGCTCCACCCACTGGCCTTGGCTTCTTGCTCTAAGTTCAGGTTTCATAACTTTTTCAGATGTTGTTTAACTGAAAGCAAGGATGAAGTAAAGGTGAGATAATAACTGTATGTGGCAATAGTTTCTGTCCGGTGCACAGGTCACTGATGAAATAGCCTTGGTTGTCTTCTTCTAAATGCAACCCTTTTGCTGGCATTCTTCAAGCAGCCTTCCCATTTGTCTCCTTGTTAGGTTCAAGAGAAGCAACAAAGATGCTTCTAAAAGAAGTCTGTAGTAAGTGGAAGAAGTAGGGCTAAACCCACTCTCCATTTCTCTCTTTGCTTCCTAGAACTAGCTCATCTGTTGTTGTCACTTTATGATGTATGAAAAAGGATTACTTGAATTTATTTTTCCTACCTCCCTGATCCTTTTTGTTCTCTTGGGGATGATCCGATTCACAAAATCATGACCAAGTTATGACTTGTTCATATATGATTCACCAAATCGGCTGGCATTAGCAAGTTTTGATTAAAACCCCAAGCTATAACCCAAGGTTTTGCAAACAGCAATGACAGAATTCATACAGAGGGATGCTTGGTGCTCTCTGAGTTTTGTTGTTTTCTTGCAGACATTGCATTACCCAACTAGGTAACATCATCAGTGCGAGAAGGGAGTGGGATCTGCTCACTGTTTATATACAGTTGACTTGCCCTTTCATGTTCCTTGCTGGGAATGTTCCTTGATTAGATTGTTGGTTACGGTTTGATTGTGTTGGTAATTCCTTGATTATTGTTTACTGATTGTTGGTCTAATATTAATCTTGGTGTTAATCTTTGCTTATGTGGGTGTTGATTGCTGGTGAGGAGGTGGATGGGATTCTTTTTGAATGGTATGTGGATGGTATTTATCTTGATGTACCTGTTGATGGCTGATTTGTCTCAGTTCTTACAGGATTACTACTGTAATGCTCTCTACATGGGGCTCCCCTTGAGGAGCACCCAGAGGCTCCAACTGGCGCAGAGTGCGGCCACGCGGGTGGTTATGGGAGCGATGTGGCGCTTCCATGTAACATCTCTCCTGCGTGAGCTGCACTGGGTCCCGATGGTCTTCTGGGTGCGCTTCAAGGTTTTGGTTACCACCTTTAGAGTGCTCCATGGCTTAGGGCCTGGTTATTTACGGGACCGCCTGCTGCCGCAAACGGCCTCCCACCGGCCGGTACGCTCTCATAGAGAGGGACTCCTCCGGGTGCCGTCGGCCAAACAATGTCGGCTGGCGGCTCCCAGGGGGAGAGCCTTCTCTGTGGGGGCACCTACTATCTGGAACGAGCTCCCCCCGGAGATATGGAGGATCCTGGATCTACGCACTTTCCGCCGCGCTCTTAAGACCTTTTTATTTCACCAGGCTGGTCTGGCCTAACCTTTCCCATTCTTTTTTAAATGTAAATTTTAATGTAAATTTTAATTTGTTCTTAACCTGGGGTTTTAAATTTGTCTTGGGCTAAATTGATTTAATTCGATTTTACTTTTGCTCTTAATTTTTGTATTCTATGTGTTTTATTCTGTGCCTGTTCACCGTCCTGAGTCCTTCGGGAGTAGGGCGGTATACAAATTAAATAAAATGAAAATGAAATGTTAAATCAAATCCAAACCATGTCTTGTGTCTTTAGGTGATGTGCGAACCCAGACCCACAACTCAGTTCAGACAATATATTACATTTTAAAGCCAAGGGATGGGTTTGCAAAAACAGAGTAAGACACAAAAACCTAACTGATGTGAAAATGAATCAAGCTTAGAAAATGCAGCCACAAAGTCTATAAATGATCTGGATAAGCAAGTGGTTCTAATGTAGACACATTGTCTTTAGAGATAGTTACCTTATATCAATTTAAGCATTCTTCTTCTTCTTGTTGTGCCATATGCATCATCGGACGTTGGCGATGATGTTGGCAATCCTATTTAATTTAATTTAAGCATAGAGCCACGTAACTCAGTCTTGCCTGCATGAGAAGAATATTACTCAGTTCTTATTGTAAATTATTCGTGGAAAGCCGGTGCAATAATTACACTCCTCATATAAGACAGCCAGATATGATCCAAAATTTCCCTCTTCCCATTTGAGTATGCTCTGTGCGAGTATATTACACACAGAGCTTGGCTCTTTTTAAACGATCATTGAAACACGGACACAATCGCTAATTCTAAGATGTTTCCAAGATCAACTGGAGAATTTCGGAAAGAAGACTAGCTCACCTTCTAGCTTTAAGACCGCTATTTCCTCTTCTCTGACTATGTGTTGATTTCAAAAGGTTGTTGTGGTCAGCAACATCACTACTCTGTAGAAAAGCTGACTAAATTCTTCAGACCTTGCGTAAAGATCTCATAGAACTGCCCTATCTATGCTCTGAGAGCAGCCAGTCTGGTATGTACAGTGGTTAAGGCATCAGGCTAGAAACTGGGAAACTGTGAGTTCTAGTCCCACCTGAGGTACGAAGACAGCCGGGTGACCGAGGGCCGTTCGCTTTTCTCAGTCTTAGAAATGAGGCAATAGAAAACCACTTCTGAAAAACCTTTCCAAGAAAATTGTAGGGATTTGTTTATACACATGTCTATACACACGTATATACACATATACAGTTATTTTTTAGAGATAGATAGATAGATAGATAGATAGATAGATAGATAGATAGATAGAGTAGATAGATGGATGGATGGATGGATGGATGGATAGACAGACAGATGGGGATAGGGAGAGGAAGGGAGAGATACACACAGATCTCTCTCTCTCTCTCTCACACACACACACACATACACACACTCCCCCCATAAGTCTGTATTCAATATAGGTAGTCCTCAACAATTGACCCACAATTGAACCCAAAATTTATGTTGCCAAGTCAAAAATTTATTAAGGGATCTTTGCCCCATTTTACGACTTTTCTTGGCACATTTGCTAAGGGAATCACTGCAGTTATTAAATTAATGACACAGTTGTTAAGTGAGCATGGTTTCCCCATTGACTTGGGTTGTTGGAAGGTCGCAAAAGGGGATCACATGACCCGAGGACACTGCAGCCGTCATATGAATCAGCTGTCAAGCATTAAATTACTTGTTTATCCATGCCGTTGTAACTTCGAACAGTCACTAAATGAACTGTTGTAAGTCAATGACTACCTGTAATAATCCTTTGGAGGAGCCGATGTCTTAGACAGAAGCAATCAAAAACATGTCAGCCTTCCTTTCTCTTTCTCTCAGTCTCATCTCCTAGATGATTAATCTCACATTCTTCAAGCATCAATAGAACTTGTGCTGTTAAATGTTCTCATTTCCATTCTCACTACTTTCTTCACCGTTTACCAAAGGACATCTTGATCCCACCAGTATGTCCACTGCTGATGAATTCTTCTACCATAGCAGGACGAATGTGTATCTCTGCAGACCCATAAAGCTGTCTGAGGTTACAAGCCTATGAATCTACTTCTAGGTAAGATATTGTACAGGAGAGGAGAAGCCCACTAGGGTTGAGACACCAACTTGATCTCTTGACCGGCTAGAACAGAGGTGTCAAACTCAAGTCATCGCTTAGATCTGGCCCGGGGGGGGGGGGCACCCTGGAAACAGTGAAGGACCAGCCTGTGGTGCCTCTGCCAGCTGCACGAAACCCCCCTCCCCCAGCACCGTTTTTAGTGGCAGAGGACTGCAGGAGGCCGTCGCAGCTGAAAACAGAGATCGGGAGCCCATTTTCGCTGGCAGAGTGCTCGGGCCACCACAAGCACCCCGACACAAGTGACGTCAAGCTGGTCATGCCCACCCTGCCCTCCCCCCGAAGTCAAACACAACCCTGATGCGGCCCTCAATGAAATCGAGCTTGATACCCCTGGGCTAGAAGGTTAAAGTAGCGGCTCCTGAAAACTTGTTTCTAGGTAGACATGTATTGCCACAGCGAGCTTCCTTGAACAACTTCCTCCCCTCTGAGGCTGTCTCACAAGGTTTTATCAGAATGAGAAATTAGACTGGGTGATTTAGCTGCTCTGTTCTTGGAAGAAAGCATCAAGTATTTATTTGTCTTAATGCTACTAACATTCCTTCGCTAACATTTCCCTTTTTCACTAGCTGTTAACACCCTTCTATCTCTACTCAGGTGGTGGCAATGCATTCCTTACTTCATGCATCATACCAAGTCATAATGAGGTTAGTTTAAGCTTAGGGCCACTGTGTAAATACAGCCATGGTGTTTTAGAAATCACCAAATAGGACTTAGCTCAGTAGCATGAATCCGATTTACTGCGGCTAAATCAATACATTTATTTTACTTTGTTATTAGATTTGTATCCTGGCTTTATTGCTTTGGGGGGACGGGGGGGAGGGCATTGGCTCAGTGGTTAAAGCTGCTGAACTTGTCAACTGGAAAAATGACAGCCCGGGTTTGAGACCAGAGCGATGTGTGATGGGGTGAGCTCCTGTCCCTTGCTGCAGCTCCTGCCCACCTAGCGGTTTGAAAGCATGCAAATGTGAGTAGATAAATAGGTACCACTTTGTTGGGAAAGTAACAGTATTTCGTGACCTCAATGTATAGCCATGCTGGCTACATGTCCACAGAAATGTCTTTGGACAACGCTGGCTCCCACGGCTAAGAAATGGACATGAGCATTGCCCCCTAGAGTCGTTTTTCTGACTGGACAAGGGAAATCTGTGCCTTTACCTTTTATTAGTTCACTTACGGGGCAGTGAAAATACCCAATGCTGCTTCTTTCCTCTGTGAGATGGAGTGGACTGACAGAAAGTGACACGTTACCATCACATATCCAAAACTTCACAAATGATAGCTTATTATGTCTTGTCCATGGGGAAAAGCATCTACCAGAAGATGACGATTTAAGATTTTACAGTACACTTTGTAATATGAACCCCAGAGAGAAATTCTGCAGAAATTCTCCTTGCCAAATAAAGGGGACTGAAGATGGACTTCATAGTTTTATTTACAAAATGCAGGAGCTGAATACTGTTTTTTTAAAAAAAATCTACATAAAGGTAAACAAAGCAAGGCATTTTACACTTGGCAGCTTCCAAGAAAATGCTTTTAGCAACAGGTCAGACCTTCAACTTTGCCTGCTATTGAAATACTTGCAGCAACAATCTCTTACACAACCAGCTGAAAATTAGAAACCTAGGCTCAGTTGAACTCTTCTAATGCCCCGTGTTCTTGGTTGTAACAACCGCTAGGGCCCGGGACTCTCTCTACTGTGTTGACTGGCTCCGTTTATTCCAAATGTCAATCGTTCTTTTGAGGACTTCATCAAACACCAGATCTGCTTTCCTGACTTCCTTGTTGTTGCAGCCAACTTGGGGGCATCTGTAAAGAAGGGGAAACGGTCTGAGTTAAAATCACACCCAAATTAGCAAAACAGAAGTTCTCACTATTATCTTGAAATCCAGTGGGGCGGTTCCGATGAGCTCCTTCAGTGGGAAAATGACCTTCAGAAGAAGTGTTATATTTATCCATGTTTCAAACCGAGAAACAAGCCATCAATGGAGATTCTCAGTCATCTGAATCATGGTTGTCCCAAAGGTGCTTTTTTTCAAGAGTCAACTGGACTTGTTGCTTCTTGAAAAAGCACCTTTGGGACTAGAAACAAGACACTGGCTTCAAAATTAGCTCCGTTTCAGTTGATGTCTGCCTGTCGATGGAAACGCCTGACACTAGCAATGGACTAGTGTGGTCCATTAATGGCCATTAATGGCTAATGCAAAGGGCTGCTTCCATTCATCTTATCCACATGTTGAGATCTGTTTTGGATGTTGTATTAGTTTAATAATTGAGCAGGATAGCAGCCAATAACTGGTGGCTTCTCAGTCTGGAATAGCCTTTCAATGGAGTTGCATCTTTCCTCCATTATTTATTTGACTCTTCAAAACTTCTCTTTGAAGGTTGCCTTGGATTCAACTGCAAAGGGCTCATAATTTCACCCAGACATTTGAACTGTGACTGCCATTAATCCCATGCTTCATGGTCAGAAGTCTGCCCTGCCCAGGGATTAATGGGATTTGTAGTCTGGCAAATAGGAAATTATTAGACTGTGGAAAGTTGCCTGTTCCTTCTCTGCTACGTTGCCTACATTAATCTCAGATGAGCAGTAACAGGTAAGCAAGAATTTCTGATTTCCAGTTGTCCAAAAATTGTAACAGCTTAAAAAAAATACATCCTCCAGTTAATGGTACTGATGAAAAAACAAACTGAAAGGTGGATGGCTCTTGGAACCCATAACTCTGAGAACCTGTGAAGAATCGGAAGTCAATGCCTTTTCTTTCTTTTTCCCCTTTTCTTTTCCTCACTTTTTCCTTATCCTTTTCCCTTCCCTATTTTTCCTATTATTTACTTCTGCATTTTCTTTGCATGCTACATTATAAACTAATAAAAACATATATAAACCGATTCCCCTAGTCTAGAATCGGAGTGCCTCTATTTGTATACTGTTGCCTGGTATTCTATTTTCAGGAAAGTTACGTTGTAAGAGTAGTTTATAAATATAGGCAACTAGGTAATGAATCATCCAATCTGCTGCAGAATACACATTGGTTATAGTGCTTTGAAATTACAGTGAGAATAATCTGAATTTTGTAAAATTCAAGAGTTCTAGAAGGCAAAACTGAATCTGCCTTGCAGGTTATGATTTGAGATCTGTGCTCAGAGTTGGAGCATTCTTTGGGCACATATTGTACGTACAATAAACCCACACAAATTAAGATTATTTGTGGGCTGACATCCTTCCCTATTAACTTAATTTTATCCAAATGTAGTTCAGTTTGAAGGGGCATTTAAAAAAAAAAAGTCAGGAACAATGAATAAATGCAAAGAAAATAACAGGCCATATGTTGGCTTTTGGAGAGATTTTCTGAGATTTAATGCTAACCTTCCTTTTGGTAGGTAAATCAGCTTTGTTCAGAGAGAGAGACTGCAGAAGGTAATTATATAAACAGGTGAGAATGGATAGCCTGGGGAGGAATGAGTTGCTGAGATTTAGGAACATTTCTCCCTGTAGATCAATCGTAAGTGAGACACCATTTGCCTGTGGTGGTAGTAATGATGAGTAATAGCATTAGAGACTGTAGAGTCTGCATATTGTTTGATACCTTCAAAGACCTGTGCAGATTCTCAGAGGATACTCTGAGAGGTTTGAAGAGACAGGGGAGAAGACAGGCGAAAAGACAGCTTCCTTGGCTGACACGGAAATGCTACAGAAGACCAAACAGCATGAAAAATAGAAGAAAGTTCCAAGGAGATTCCACACCAATTTGCATTATTCAGGTGACACTGAAACCTCCAAGTGGCCCCAACCACTAGATGACTGCAAGGAATATAAATCTTTCCATCCTCCACCATTCAGTCAGAACTGAAGAAGCTTCTTGAATGAGAAGGGAAATGTTTTAAAGGAAAAACAAAATCTAGTTGCCATGACCTGGATGACTGGGAATCTCTAGATATATATAAAAAATAGAGGGTTGCCTCCTCAAATAATAATAATAATAATAATAATAATAATAATAATAATAATAATAATGAATACACCAACTCTGATCACTCAATACAGATAAGCCCAAACTACCATTTTTTCCCCAGTTCTGTAACCATCTCTAGTCTGATATAATGCAACATGTGGCATTGGCAAGCTTAAATTGGTTTTTAAAACAAGTAATGCTTCCAGCCCTTAAGATAATACCTGGGATAGCAAAAAAAGTTTTATGATAGGTTTTCCTAGCTTGATTCCTATAGCCATGGTTGGCTCTTCCTTCTCATTCCTAAAATGTTCCCAAACCTCTCATCTTCACGATTCTTATCCTCTGTTATCCTGCTCCTGCCTTTAAAAAGTTTGAAAGATATACCCAAATAACCACAGTGTATTGCAGTTGTGTGCTCTAGGCCAGAGGTCTTCAAACTTGGCAGCTTTAAGACTTGTGGACTTCAACTCCCAGAATTCTCCAGCCAACATATGTGCAGCGTCAAAAACACAGCGATATAGGACGGGATTGCGCCCACCCGCAGGTCGCCAGTACTGGCTCACTTGAACCGGTCTGAACCGGCTGAATACCACCTCTGACAGGCAGGTGGAAGAGGTACAACAGAGTACAAGATCCCAGGGGTCTTGTAGTCTGCGGGGCTCCTCGGGAGAACAAGAGGAGCATCTTACAAGAGCAACTTGCGACCTTCCCTTCCAGTTTTCCCCATTGACTCCGCTTGTGAAAAGCTGGCATGGAAGTTTGCAAATGGCGATCACATGACTTTAGCTCACTGAAATGTCACAATCACAAGCTGGGCACTTGGGTGCCTAGATCACAATCACGTGACAACGGGGACGCTACGATGGCTGCCACTTTGTCACTGTGTACCTTGTGTGCCGTTTTTTAAGTTCCCTCCCTCCCTCGGCGCCATTGCAAATTGAATGGCTGCTCAGCAAGTGGTGATAACTCAAGCATTACCTTTATTTTGCTTTCTCCCAATTTCTCAAAGAAGGGGCAGAACTGTGATGGACTGAAAGTTTGCATTTTGAATCAGATCTGTCTTGAAATGGTAGAAGTACATGTCCAAGGGAAGCGGGGAGAGTTGATGATGATAATGACAATTAAAAAAAAAAAACTTTTTAGCGTATGGCATGTGTTAGCCAGGGATCACTAAAGTGGCCGGCTGCCTCTGTGAAAGGAATTTTTTCGGGCGGTGTTATCTTTACCTGCGGGATGCCTGAATGGGGCATCAGGGGAGGCTCCTTTCCTGTCCTTATGCGGTTTATTCACTCAAGGGAATCGAACCGCCGAGCTGCTGACCTCATTGATGCACAGGCTCAGTGTCTTACCATGTGAGCCACCGCGGCCCCCGATTATGACAATAATAATGATTTCTTAAACTTCTATATAGCCTGCTCAAGCAGTTCACAACACTTGGAATACTGCATCCAGCTTTGATCGCCACGATATTAAAAAAAAAAAAGATGTTGAGACTCTAGAAAGAGTGCAGAGAAGAGCAACCAAGATGATTAGGGGGCTGGAGGGTAAAATATATGAAGAACGGTTGCAGGAACTGTCTGGGTATGCCTAGTTTAATGAAAAGAAGGACTAGAGATGACATGATAGCATTGTTCCAATATCTAAGGGGTTGCCATAAAGAAGAGGGGGTCAACTTATTCTCCAAAGCAGCTGAAGGAAGGACAAGAAGCAATGGGTGGAAACTAATCAAGGAGAAAAGCAACCTGGGTGGAACTAAGGAGAAATTTCCCGACAGTGAGAACAATGAATCAGTGGAACAACTTGCCTCCAGAAGTTGTGAATGTTCCAACACTGGAAGTTTTTAAGAAGAGATTGGATAACCATTTGCCTGAAATGGTATAGGGTTTCCTGCCTGAGTAGTGGGTTGGACTAGAAGACCTCCAAGGTCCCTTCCAATTCTGTTATTCTATTTTATTCTAATGGTTATGGGCTGGTTTTGCTCCAAACCAAAAAATGCTGGGTTTTGGCAAAGCCATTGTAAAATGTGATCACATAACCATGTTTGCAGAGAACATGTGGCAAGAAGGGTCATAAAATGAAACAAAACTCACTTAACAACTGTCTCAATTAGCAACATAAATTTCGGGCTCAGTTGTGGTCATAATTCAAGGAGTGGAATGGACAACCATTTGTCTGAAACGGTATAGGGTTTCCCGCTTAAGCAGGGGGTTGGACTAGAAGACCTCCAAGGTCCCTTCCAACTGCGTTATTCTGTTAAAAATCAACTGCTGAGGATCTCCCTCTTCCCCATAAAATGTAGATATTAATCCTCTCTGCCACATCTATGTTCCCGGCCCATTTTCAAACTGCTTGTGCTGCAGATATGACTACTGCAAGCCCTTCTGATAAAACCTGTTCTCCGGCCCCGATTCGCAGCCTCTGCAGCACAGGGGCCCAGGAGAGGAGAGACGGACTCAGCCGCAGCCACTCCGAGGCCCTTCACTCCGCAGGCAGCCCCAAATCCCGTCTGGGAAGGCGTTTGCCCCAGACCGACAAAGGCAGTTCTCCGGTGCTGTGTCTCCAGCGTGATGCGTTTGCCTTGGGCAAACCACAGAGTCTCACAGTTTGGGGTTTGTTTCTCCCAATCTACAAAGAGGTGAAGATAATTATTATTTATCTGGCACATGTTTTTACCCAGATTAATTAATTTTGTTAAATTGCCTAGAAAGCCTCCAGTCAAAAAGGAGCTGTATGACACAGTCAAGGCTGGTACTTTTGCTGCTCAGCAATTATTCTCGGCTCCTGAAACAGCAACAGGGAGGGTGGGTGTCTTATTTATTTATTTTATTTATCACATTTTTATAGCACCCATCATGCACATAGTGAGTCTGGGCAGCATACAACAGTTTGTGGGGAGCGGGTCCCCCAAAGAGGACCCAAAAGGAATCCCTGATTTAAACACCAAGATTTAACCACAGAAAATGTATTACTGCCAACATTTAATACTGAATATGTCCATGAGCATGTGTTTAAACGTTGCTGAGAGTTATCTAGGAAACTAGCTTCCTAATGTGAAAGGACGCTTTGCCAATTCTTTATCTAGAGCAGTGCTTCACAAATTTGGCAACTTTTAAGATGTGTGGTCATCTTCAGGCAGCACAGTTGGCTGGGGAATTCTAGGAGTTGGAAGTCCACTCTTCTTAAAATTGCTAAGGTTCAGAAACACTGGTCTATGGTAAGAAAGAAGTTTGGAAGATGCTCCATTCCTAAGTCAGGGGTCGGCAACCTTAAACACTCAAAGAGCCACAAAGGTCCTAACCGGAAGCCCCCGTTCAATTCTGGAGCTGACCGGAAGTCCGGTTCCCCCATCATAGTCTCCTCCTAGCGCGGTGTCCTTTTTCCTCTGCTGACCGGAAGTCCAGTTCCCCCACCATAGAGTCTCCTCCTAGCACAGCATCCTTTTTCCTCTACCTGTCCTAACTGAAAGCCCTATCAATTGTGGAGACAACCAGCAACAGGGAACCACAGCAGAGGGATGAAAGAGCCACATGCGGCTCCAGAGTCGCAGGTTGCTGACCTTTGTCCTAAGGGTAGTCATCTACTTTCTGAGCTGCCTAAAATGGAATCTGTTTATCCCAAACCCAGAATAGCGGCATGTGTTGAGATGACACTGCTTTAAGACTTTAATTCCAGTTTAAATCCACAATCCAAGTTGAAGTCCACACATCTTAAAGTTGCCAAGTTTGGGAAACACTGAGAGTGTACAGGTTGCCCAAAGCTGATGCAGCTGAACATCCATAATCATGGATTCACTTGGTGACGCTAAAACATTACTTTCTACGTTGCTGGAAATCTGGAATTTTTTTCCCTATTTCCTTCCTGACACCATCAGTAGATCTCAAACAGCAAAGTGATACACTAGGATTCCAAATCCAAGGTATTAAAAAGTATTGGCCGCTCTTGATTGGGCTAAGATGACATGTTGCATTAGATCAGGGCTGTCAAACTCCTGACCCGCGGGCCGGATGTGTCACATGCTGGCCACACCCACGCCCAGTTTAGCAAAGGGGGGGAGGAAGTCCTGATACGTAACGTGACACTGCCGTGATAACGTGAGTTTGACACCCCTGCATTAGATCATCATCTAGTTTTGATTGACCATCTCAGGTGAACCTTGCTGTATATTTTGTAGGCCATGGTTATGACACAGAGCAATGCATGAACCCAGCCGATTATGGACTAAGCAACCAGACAATGTCATCTGTGAATTCAGACAATAGCTCAAACGCTTTTGAAATTAAGAATTGAGAAAGGAATCATTGGAGGGAGATAAAGGATGTTCCTGTACAATGCGGGATAAAGTCTGGAGTCTCTTGAGCAGAAATTAAAAACAAGGTCAGAGCTTAGATGATAAGTTTCCCAGCTGCTTACACATCTAAATATTTAACTTGGATATTGTTAAATGTTATTTTTTTCCTAGAAATTTAGATGCAAGCAGAAGCCAGCTCAGCAAGAACTGTTCCTTCTTGTATTTCAGCTTTTTATTGCTATTTACTAGACTGGCCATTAATTCCTTTAGTGTTAAAAAAAAAAAAAAGGACAATACAAATTCATAGACAATCAAAATGATGGCTATTTGCTACTTCCTGAACATGGGGTAGCATGGATTAGAAACCAATTGCTGTGGAACCACAAGGGGGGAAGGCCATCACTTCATATCTTCTCGGAAGCTTCTGGTTAACCTGTAAATTGACATCAGAAGGCTGGACAAGGCAGGCCAATGATTTGATCCAGGAGAGTTCCTTTTATGCGCTTAAGTTGCCAAAGGCAATCCAGCAAACCAGTCAGAACAGAGCCTGTTATAACTCTCTAGTGTAGATATTTCATCTGGATCCTTGCTTGACTCATCTTAATATTGTACTTGGTGTTAATTATACCTTGAGAGAGAAATTACATGCTGCAGCACCTGCCACGGACAGGCAGGTGGGTGAAGGAATGAATGAATGGCGACAGTCATAAGCTTCCCAGGTACCAAATAATATTGCCAACTTGCCTTAGCTGCTGTTTCAAGATAACAGAAGCCATACTTTGGGATGGAGAGCAAAATTAGGGAAAAGGATGGCATGCTTCTGTATTAAATCCCTCGTTCCCTTTTCCAAATTGCTTTGCTTTATGGCTAACACTATGTCCTCAGGACTAATACTTCAAAGAGCTGTTTCTTTCTCCAACTGACATACAGTAATTAGCGTCTGATTATTTATACTACTGTTATCAGACATCCAGGACTGGAAAGCTCAGAAGAAATCTGCTTTTCCCATTTTAGTTCCTCTAGATGTGTCAGATAACAGTTCCTATTAGCAACTGTGGTAGCTGGGGATAATTAAAAGAGGCAATCCAGAGTTCTCACTGAAGGCCCAAACAACCAAGCTCAAATTAGGCTATTTGGATACGGTATATTAAGACAGCTTTCTGGAAAAGAAGGAAGGGGAAGGAAAGAGAAGAGGACAAATCTATATGCTGTAAACGACACACTATAAAAAAGATGTTGGGACTCTAGAAAGAGTGCAGAGAAGAGCAACAAAGATGATTAGGGGTCTGGAGCCTAAAGCATACAATGAACGGTTGCAGGAACTGGGCATGGCTGGTGGAGAGAAGGACCAGGGGAGACATGATAGCAGAGTTCCAATATTTGAGGGCCTGCCACAGACAGGAAGGGGTCAAGCTATTTTCCAATACATCTGAAGGCCAGACAAGGAATAATGGATGGAGAGATTCAACCTAGAAATAAGAAGAAATTTTCTGACAGTGAGAACAATCAACCAACGGAACAGGTTGCCTTCAGAAATTGTGGGAGCTTCATCACTGGAAGCTTTCAAGAAGAGACTGGACAGCCATCTGTCAGAAATGGTATAGGGTCTCCTGCTTGAGCGGGGGGTTGGACTAGATGACCTACAAGGTCCCTTCCAACTTTGTTAATCTGTTATCTGTTATATAGCAGGAAGCAGGATAAATTCAATTACAGTAGCAATGGGTACAGCGTTGGAAGACTTGAAAATTAAGATGGAGACAAATTACCCTGAAGAAGTCTAATCTGTGTGGTTGCTAGGAGGCAATGTGATGGCACCTTATTATCAATCCAACATGTCTGACAAAGCTGGAGTATGAGCTATTAAGAGAACTAGGAGACACAGGAACTCTCAATAGGTAGTCCTCGACTTACGAACATAATGAGACCAAAATTAAGAGCCGTGGTGGCACAGTGGTTAGAATGCAGTATTGCAGGCTGAGTTTGCTCACAATGGTCGTAAATGGGAAAAAGAGTCATACGTCACCTTTTTCAGAGACGTTGTAACGTTGGACTATCACTAAACAAACTGTTGTAAATCGAGGACTATCTGTACTCCAATTTCCATAACAGCGGCCTACATGTTACGGATGTGTTATCAAATTGCGTCCTTCAGTTGTCACTCTGAGCAATATTTTTTATGAGGAAATGTAATGGCAAAAACTACCCATATCTTCTTATGAGATAGTAAGTTACACATCTGGTCTTGGGTTGGCTTCCAAGCAACAATTTTGTAAACTCACACAATCTGCATTTTACTTCTGCAAGTTGAATAAGGCGCGCACTCTCTTTCCCTCCCCCTCTTTCTCTGCCTATTTTTTTTCTCTCTCTCTTTCCCTCCCCTCTCTCTCTCCTCTCTCTCTCTTTCTCTCTCTTTCCCTCCACTTTCTCTCCTCTTCTTTCTTTCTCTTTTCTCTCTCTCTCTTTCTCTCTCTTTCCCTCCACTTTCTCTCCTCTCCTTTCTTTCTCGCTCCTCTCTTTCTCTCTCCTCTTGCTTCTCTCTTTCTCTCTCTCACTACCTGTTTCTCTCTCTCTCTTTCCCTCCACTTTCTCTCTCCCTCTTCTCTCTCTCCCTTCTCTCTCCTCTCTCCCTTCTCTCTCTCTCTCTTCCCCCCCCCCTCCACTTTCCATCAATACTCAGGACTGCTTACTTGACTTTCTTCTTATGTTGTTGTCTGCGCCGGATGTGTTCCAAGATGGCTTCTTCCTCATAGGTGTGGCCGCAGATTTTATTCCTAACTGGTTTCTTCATTTCTTCCTGCAATAAAATTATTGGGCTGCATAACCAATTGTTCAAATCAACAACTCAGTAGTGTCTGTCAGTGGCTTCTGTATTATTGTTGCAGCTCCACAAATTAAACCCCATTAATTGACAACTACAACTACTGTTGTTTATGATTATTACTGTAAGGCTGCCAGCGAATGAAGTAATTTGGAATTGATTTTCTCGCATACATGGAGATACAGGCAGGTATTTGCTCAAAGGGAGGGTAGGACAAATAAAAGGATTGCTGAATCAAGGGTTAAAAGAAGAGAAGGAAAAGAGGGGGAAATAAAACGTAAATGCTTAAAAAAGAATAGGATTCCTGCAAGGGTGGTAGATCCTGAGTCCCCATTAACAAGGCATCTTTTTCACATTCTTAAAAAATAGGATATGTTCAAGTTTGCATATGACAAGTAGGCTCACTTTTGTCTTGCAAAATATTAGTGGGCCACCAGAAATATATTTATTAGATGAATAAGGTAAAAAGCAAGCAAAGAAAGTGGATGGCAACAGACCATAATCTTTTCTGTTCAGTTGTCCATTAGGCATTGTATCCCTTTAGTTTTTAACCACATCAGTTTTTGTGTCCAAATTATATTGCACAAACTGGTGGGACTTTTGCAGAAGAAAATCAGTCTGCAGCCATTTCACACTTAAAAGGCTTTCACTACAGAAAAAGTAACACTCCTCTTTAACAATTTCATTGCAGGCTTGAGCCAAAAACTATTGGTAAACATCAAATAAAGTAAGAGACACACTATACCCGTGATGGCGAACCTATGGCACGCGTGCCAGAGGTGGCACACAATGCCCTCTCTGTGGGCACGCAAGCCATTGCCCCAGCTCAACTCTGCCACACATGCATGCACACCTCCCACGGGCCAGCTGGTCTTCGGGTCTCTGCTGCGCATGCGTGGGGGATGGGGCACATGCAGGGATGCGGATGCATGTGGGGCACATGCTGGGCGCATATGCAGGGGGCGCATGCATGCACAGGGTATGTGTGGGGGGGCAGGTTGCATGCACAGGGGCCAATGCGTGCATTACATTTTGGGGGTTCGCGCGAGTATTTTGGGCACTTGGTCCGGAAAAGGTTAGCCATCACTGCACTATACAGTATATGCATGTAACCTCCAGCATATGATTTCATATTGCGGAATGTGAGCAGAATGCAATTGTGAACCTGCTATGTCTTCTCTAGCTATCACTGTGGGGTCCTTGGTGCTTGGTTTGTTTTCTTGTAGATATTTCGGTACTCAATTAGGTACTATTGTCAAAGCTAGAAGAGAGTGAAGTTTACCCCCCCCATTCTCTTGTAGCACTGATGATGTTACCGAGTTGGGTGATGAAACGTCTGCAAGAAAACAACCAAGCTCAGAGAGGTAGCAGGGATCCCGCAATCAGGAGTGAAAACCATTTTTTTCCCCTATTGGTTCTGTGGGTGTGGCTTGGGGGGGCGTGGCAGGGGAAGGATATTGCAAAATCTCCATTCCCACCCCACTCCAGGGGAAGGATATTGCAAAATCTCCATTCCCACCCCACTCTGGGGCCAGTCAGAGGTGGTATTTGCCGGTTCTCCGAACTACTCAAAATTTCCGCTACCGGTTCTCCAGAGCCTGTTAGAAACTGCTGGATTTCACCCCTGCCCACAATTCAGGGGTGAGATCCAGCAGGTTCTGACAGGTTCTGGAGAACCGGTAGCAGAAATTTTGAGTAATTCGGAGAACCGGTAGCAGAAATTTTGAGTAGTTCAGAGAACTGACAAATACTATCTCTGGCTGGCCCCAGAGTGGGGTGGGAATGGAGATGTTGCAATATCCTTCCGCAGGAGTGGGGAGGGAATGGGGATTTTGCAATATCCTTTCCCTGGAGTGGGGTGGGAATGGAGATTTTGTAGTATCCTTCCCCTGCCACACCCACCAAGCCATGCCCACCAAGCCACGCCCATAGAACCAGTAGTAAAAAAATTTGGATTTCACCACTGCCGCAATTCAACCCTGAGCTACAAATATTCTCTTCTATTGCTAGCTATCATTCTTTCCTCTCTGCTACCTAGATGTAGGACCTACCTGTGTGATGGGGCAAATAAATTTCCTCTGACTTTGAGTCACTGCAACATCCTCATCGACTTGCTCAAGGGCCGGTCCTTCTTCTGCATCCAGCTGGATCCCAACTGTAGCACGAGAGAAGGGAGAAAAGACATTCAGTCCCGCTTGTTCGTTTTCTGGATGGATCTGTTTCGGTCATGATTTATTTATTTGATTTCTATAGCCATCCATCTCGACAAGTGACTCTGGGTAGCATGCATGAGAATGACGCATTTAACTGCGGATGCAAATCTCTCTCTTTGAGGGAGATGGGCAGTTCAGAAATGTGAATACATACATAAATAAATAAGAAATAAATAAGGCTTTTTTTAAAAAAAAAAATATCATTGCTGGGACATAGGAAAAGGTTAGGTCTGGTTAGTAGTACTTGGACTGGAGACCACAAGGAGTTCTCAAATCTATAGGCTGAATCAGGGGTGTCAAACTCACGGCCCGGGTATTGGATCCGGCTCGCAGGGTGCTTAGATCTGGCCCACGGGGTTTGTTTGTTTGTTTATTTATTTATTTATTTGTTTGTTTGTTTGTTTGTTTGTCATATTTCTATGCCGCCCACTCTCCGAGGACTCTGGGCGGCTTACACCAAAGACAGTATACTAAATAACATATTGCCCCCAACAATCTGGGTCCTCATTTTACCCACCTCAGAAGGATGGAAGGCTGAGTCAACCTTAAGCCGGTGAGATTTGATCCGCTGATCTGCTGAACTAGCAGTCAGCTGAAGTAGCTGCAGTACTGCACTCTAACCACTGCGCCACCTCAGCTCACCTCGGGTTGCCCTGGAAATAGCGAAGGACCGACCCTGGTGCCTCTGCCAGTGTAAACGGCGCTCGGGAAGGTTGAGGACTGCCTGAAGGCGGCCCTCCCAAATTCTGTTTTCATTGGCAGAGGGTTACAGGAGGCCGTCGCAGATGAAAACGGAGCTCGGGAGTCGGCAGAATGCTTGGGCCACCACAGACACCCCCTGTCAGCCTCTGCCTTTTTATTGCTTGCTTGCTCGGCTGCCATTGTAACGGGGGGAGGGGGAGCTATTTGAATGTCTGGGAGGGGGGAAGTGAGCTGGTGGAGAAGAGGGGAGAAAGTTTTCCTCAGCGTTTTCTCTGCAGCTGGGAAGAGCGCTGATAACCACTCAAGATCAACCGTCGTGGCATACCAGGAGGATGGCACCATCGGAAGCTGCACCCCACATGACCCCTGGGGGGGATGTGGATTGGATAATCCTGACTGGACGATTGGAGGGAGGGTTTTAAGGATGCTTTCTATATGTGATTTGCCTCAGACCTTGCTCTTCTTTGGTGGCATTCAGTTCACACTCAGTAAAAGTACCTTTCTCTATGAAAATGGAGTCGGGGTTTTTCTTTCTTGAGTACTGAAAGGAGGCACACCTGACACGCCCGACACGAGTGATGTCGAGCTGGCCACGCCCACCCCAGCCACGCACTCCCCACGGTCAAACACAACCCTCATACGGCCCTCAATGAAATCGAGTTTCACACCCCTTGGCTAGATCATCTCTCCCCCCCTCCTCCAATCACCTTAAAGAAGAGATTAAAGTACACTATTGTAGGCTAACTCTGTCCACCGCCAGGAGTTCGATCCTGACTGCCTCAAGGTTGATTCAACCTTCCATTCTTCGGAGGTTGGTAAAATGGGGGTCCAGATTTTTGGGGATGATATGCTGACTCTGTAAACTGCTTTGTTGTTGTTGTTGTTAGTTGCGAAGTTGTGACCGACCCTTCGTGACCCCATGGACAACGTTCCTCCAGGCCTTCCTGTCCTCTACCCAAAACTGCTTAGAGCGTGTTATATAAGCACTATGAAGTGGTATATAAGTCTAAGCAGGGATGAAATCCAGCAGGTTCTGACAGGTTCTGGAGAACCGATAGCGGAAATTTTGAGTAGCTCGAAGAACCGGCAAATACCACCTCTGGCTGGCCCCAGAGTGGGATGGGAATGGAGATTTTGCAATATCCTTCCCCCAGGAGTAGGGAGGGAATGGGGATTTTGCAGTATCCTTCCCCTGCCATGCCCACCAAGCCACACCATGCCCATCAAGCCACGCCCATAGAACCGGTAGTAAAAAAATTTGGGTTTCACCACCGAGTCTACGTGCTATTGATAATTATTTGTAGCTCTTCTTGCCTATAGACACCAAACGTGAGGCAATGCAACTGGTCTCCTACTTTCATATTTGTTGTGTTAAAGCTGGACTACATGTTTCGAAAAAAGGCAGAGATAGTCCAGATCCACCTCTCAAGCTTTCTTACTCAGCTACGTCAATTCCCAGTTTGCAAGAACGTTAAAATAGATTTACACATCCATTTGCACAAATACGATGGCTTAATACATTCAAAAGCAGCTCTGCATCAGTTGGGCAATCATTTAGCAAGCATTGTTTTCAATTTCGGTTACGTAGGCATTCCCCCTTAAAACTCTCTTGAACAAGTGGATTCTATCCCACTGATATTCAGAAGTGCTCATTTGCAGATTGTTGGAGGCAATATGCTGACTTTGTAAATTGCTTAGAGAATGCAGTAAAGCACTATGAAGTAGTATCTAAGTCTAAGTGCTATTGCTATTGGTAAAGCCCTCCAGTACTGTTATCGTGAATATTAGGTGGGTTTATCCATAACCTCTATGAATTCAACTAGACTTAAACATGACTTTTAAGTTCCATTCTTGGCAGCAATAGACAAATAGAAGAGACTTCTTCTGCACTGTCTATGTGTAACTATTAAGGCTGCATATCTCAAGTCCAATATACGTAGCCCTTGACTTACATTTGTTTAGTGACTGTTCAAAGTTACAACGGCACTGAAAAAAGTGATTTACGACTGGTTTTCAAGCTTACAGCCATCCCCACGATCATGTGATCAAAATGTGGGCGCTTGGCAACTGGGATATATATATATATTTGGCAGATGTATTGCCCAGGATCATGTGATCACTATTTGAAATCTTTGACAAGCAAAATCAATGGGGGGGGGGGGGGGAGAAGAGCCAGATTCGCTTAATGATTGCAAGATTCACTTAACAACTTCAGGGGTTTGCTTAACGGTGGCCAAAAAAGTCATAAAATCAGAGAAAACTCCCTTAAGAACTGCCTTGCTTAACAGTTTTGAGCTCAATTATGGTTGTAAATCAAGGACTACTGTATTTGGATGAAAAGAGAGAGGGGGAGGGAGGGGAGAAAGCGAGAGAGGGAGGGAGGGAGAGAGAGAGAGGGAGAATGTCCATTACCATAATAGCTGGCTAGTATTATCATGTTATTTTTCTGGGCTGACTTTCAAAAGTACAACATATTCCTATCCAACTTTATTGCTGCTGCTAATATGGGTAGGTGGACAAATATCCCACATATGTTTCATGGTTGTGGAATGTCAAAAGAGCATTTCCCATATAAGCTGATGTTTCATGCACCTTGCCCTGAAGTTTCAGCTTATTAATACATCATTAATAATACGGTATATATGATCTCTGTTTCTATTTGTATTTCACACTATAACAAACTTCAATATAAAAAAAAATAAAACAGTATAGAGCGTAGGCTAGTGATCTACAACGTATTACATATCTCTATGTACAGCAATCTAGTAGAGATGTTTTTTGTGAAGAGCGAGAGAGAGAGGAGAGGAGAGGGAGAGGGAGAGAGAGAAGAGGGAGGGGCAGAGAGAAGAGGGGGAGAGAGAGAGGAGAGGGAGGGAGGGAAGAGAGGGAGGGAGAGAGGAGAGGGAGGGGAGAAGGAGGAAAGGGAGAGAGAGAGAGAGAGGATAGGGAGGGGCAGAGAGAAGAGGGGGAGAGAGGAGAGGGAGGGAGGGAGGAGAGGGAGGGAGGGAGAGGAGAGGGAGGGGAGAGGGAGGAAAGGGAGAGAGAAAGAGAGGAGAGGGAGGGGCAGAGAGAAGAGGGGGAGAGAGGAGAGGGAGGGAGAGAGGTAGAGGAGAGAGAGGAAAGGGAGAGAGAGGGAGAGAGAGAGGAGAGGGAGGGAGAGTTTTTACATCCTTAATATATCCCCAAAACTCAGGATAGGCATACAGGAAAAATTGGACTTTCTTATAAGTCCAATTTTTCATGTATCCCACATCCTTAATGTATCCCCAAAACTCAGGATAGGCATACAGGAAAAATTGGGACTTGTAAGAAAAATGGCAAATGTCCCTTCGTGAGTGTCGTTTCTTCTGTGTATTCAGTTGCAAGGCTGGGCAATGCCAGAGGGAGGGTGTATATATGTGAGACAGCTTTGAATGACGGCTGGCAAAACCCAACTCCAGTGTTTACCTCCATGGCTACCAAGATCGTAGTTTCGCTGCCAGCCTTTCCAGATTAATTTTTGTCTTATAATGGGGGCTGAAAACTCGGGATGATTCATGCCGTGGATGAATCAAGCTATTTCTACGTGGTGCCATGCTTTGTTGTGCCAGCTTAACTCCTTCCATCTGTCAAGGCAGAAAAACAAACAAAAATTGGATCTGCAGAACACAACTTTGTTTCTCTGCAGGGAGTGGTGGGTTGCGTGCATGTGGGAAGAGGGATGTAGCTGGTGGAATAGAATGGAAGAGCATCCTGTCTGTTACGTAATACCCTTCATCCTTGTGTACCAAATGACATCTGTTTCTCTCCTTTTTTTTTTTTTTTAAGCCACCAGACCAAAATATTTCAGAAACAGACAGCTGAAGGCTGGCTAGGCAACCTAAGTTTGCACAAAGATTGCGTTCAAACAGCCAATAAACAGTTGTCCTCGACTTACGACCACAATTAAGGCCAAAATGTCTATTGCTAAGTGAAACATGTGTTAAGGGCATTTTGCCCCATTTTAAGACATTTTTGGGGGGCCACAATTTTTAAGTGAATCCGTGCAGTAACACAAATCTGGTTTCCCCACTGACTTCGTTTGTCAGAAGGTTGCAAAAGGTGATCGCATAATCCCGGGACAATCGCAACCGTCATAAATAGGAACCAGTTGCCAAGCAGCTGAGATTTGATCACGTGATCATGGGGACGCTGTAAAGGTCATAAATGTGAAAACGGTCGTAAGTCGCTTTTTTCAGTGCCGTTGCAACTCCGAATGGTC